TGATGCTGATGCTGATGCTGATGACATCCATGATATCTACATGCTTTTCTGCCATGATCAGCCTTTCTGCTGAACGACGACGTCTACTGAGATCATCACGTGTCTCGGAATCAAGGGTTCTCGCGCCTATCGCTCTTAGTAATCTAAATACTCGTCTCATCCTTAAGACTTGGTGGCTGTTTAGTAACTCTCCACTACCGGATTTTTTGTGATTTTACTGCTGAGAACCACAGCATGAATTGTGCTGATTATGGTATCACTAGGTTGAAACAAAATTCGCTTCCCACTGTGGCTGAGGTCGCAGCAACTCAGGATTCAGCATTGTAGTAATGATTGCTAATGCTATCTAATGCTGCTACTGCTAGCACGGGCTGCTACCAGCGGACCATGGTCAATACTCTTCTGAGAAACACAGGCAGTACCCCATGCCTAGCCTTACTCTAACTGCTGTCGTCTATCACACGTCTATGCTCTCACTGGTAACCCCTTTACAGGCCAAATGGCGGCATCGTAGAACCAAATGTCGCTCCATTGCAGTTGCGAGTTCAGGTTCACAACGTACTCCTCCGGACTGATAATGGGAGAGTCGGCTGCTTAGGGTTGGGAATTGGGGATGTAGAGTTTAGAACTGAGGCTTGGGGTCTAAGGGCTTTGAGGTTACCAGTGGTGTAGTGCCTCCAGGGCGTAGTGATCATCGGAGGCATGCTGCAAAGCTACAGCCTAGTGATGTCGGCGAGATTCTTGGTTGAGTCTCCGACTGTCCAAATAATCACCGGCCTGACCTCAGACCCGTTGCAGACTGAGTCCTGAAACCTCAGGCTACACCCAGGCTCAAAAGTCCCTTCAAACTTCGACACCGGCGGAAACACAAACTCAAACCCAGAGAAGCCAACCGCCACTGCACTCCCGAAACCCGAAAGCCCGTCAACCCACGACCCGAAGCCGTCCTCGGCATAGGCAGCTCCCAGCATCTTCGATTCGAGGACGTTGCCTGACTCTGACTTGCCAAAGTACACAGCATACTGAGACAGGGGCCACTGGCAGACGGTTGGATTCATGACCCTGCGCACAGCCTTTCAATGAGGCTCCACCCTGTCGGAGTCACTAGTTCTGCAGAGGTTCTGGGTTCACACCGCTGGATGAAACTCTACGAGATCTTGACGGCCACCATTGCAGCAAAAAAGGCCGTTCTGATTCAGAACAATTAAGCATTCCTCTGCGGTTTCTTTGCGAGGTTTCTACACTCGGCTGCGGGAGACTGACTTAGGCCCGGACCGACGCACTCGCAGAAATTCGTAACTTCCAGGGCAATCACCCGAGACACCTCCTTGCAAAGAGGTTTCGGAGGTTGGTGGTTCAGGCTTGAGGGGTTGCCGCAAGATTGCGAATACCAGAGTCCTGTCATGTGTGCCACACATATTTCTGCTTGCAGGCAGTGTGCGCACAGAGTTGTGCAACTGTGTCAGAAAAGTGGGCGACTTCGTAGAGCTTGAATGCTCCGCCGTCACACATGCATGCCACCTTCCGTTGTGACTGTAGCTTAGGACACCACGACATCGCTGACTCTCTGACTGGACCCAACTGCACCCCAAAATCCACGAAACATCCGAAACCCTGAATTTTAGGAGAAGCAGAAGCCTGACCACCCTGCCTCCGACACGAGGTCCCCGACATGGAGCCAGGGAGTCCAAAGGCACATCTCCGCGACCCACTTCTGGCAGGGCCTTTGAAAATGGACGTCGTAGTCGTACTAGCCGTAGCAGGTAGGTAGTACAGTTGTAGTAGCAGTTGCAGTCGTAGTAGTAGCCGCAGAAGTACGTAGTAGCAGTAGCAGTAGCAGTAGCAGTAGCAGAAGAAGTAGTAGTAGTAGTAGTCGTCGTCGTCGTCGTCGTCGTCGTTGTCGTTGTTGTCGTTGTCGTCGGAGTACCAGCAGCAGCAGCAGCAGCAGCAGCAGCAGTGACAGAAGCAGTAGCAGTGGTAGGAGTAGTACTAGCCGTCGTCGTCGCTGAGGCAGCTCGAACCTTCCTTGTGAGGAGGGTCAGTCAGAGGCCTCCATTCGAAGTCGTACCTAAGAACCCTCCCCCTGAACCCGAAGCCTCCGAGAACCGTGGGAGGGCACGGCCAAACCTGGACGCCGAAAAGCTGGAAACGAAAGGCCAACGGCTATGGGGGTTTGTAGCCCAGCAGCACGCTGCTTCTGACGCCTTCCCGAGAATAGCAGAATGCGCCGCCTGACCAGGAGGACGCGCGCTTTGTTGGTGGAGAAGACCTACTATGGCAAGGCTACTTGGAGAAGACCATGATAGGGGTTCGGAAGGCTGTTTCGAGGACTTTCTCAAGCAGCTGGCTCGACGAGAACTCCAGGGCCCCAGGCGCCGATCACAGCACGGACACGGCTTATCCCTGGAAGCCTGAAATGCCGTCTTTGAGGCCCTGAAAAGGTTCCGCCTGCCAGGAAATATGCGGAGGAGGCCACAGCGCCGGCTGCGAAGGCCACATCACCCGCCGCCAGAACCTGATCAGGCCGACTCGTGCGACGAACTCCGTCGATGCGAGGACCGTTCTGCAAGGGACGGCTTAGCAGAAGCAGAGTAGCAGTGGAGTACAGCATGCCCCGTCCTGTTGCTGAATACTTCTGTTTTTCTTCTGCCGACGAAGATAGTTGCGGCCGGCGTTGTCGTCGTCGTCGTCAAGCTCCTCACCACAGGTGACCTCGCCCATGATGACCAGATCTGACCAGCATGGTCAAGACGTTCGCGCAGGAAGCCAGCAGATCTTCTTGGCAAGTTCGGCATGTCAACCACGTGGATCCGAAACCGACCCAAAAACAATAACAAAAGTATCCCGAGCCGGGGGTCAAGACATTGCAAGAACCATCCAGGGAACCTGAGAATACCAACAGCTCTTGGACGTCTGAAGACCGGAACATTGACGCCCTGAAACTGAAAAACGAACTCCGAGACACAGAACCGCCCTTTAAACTGAGATCCTGGACCTCCAAAATCCTTCTGCGTTTCCATAAGTCTCGCCGAACTTCGCTCACAGCGGAGTCCCTCCGTCTCAGAATGTCTCAGATCTCTGAGAAGGGCGCCCGTGGCCACCTCCCGAAGCACCCGGACCTGAATTCGGCCCGCGTTCGCTTTCGACTTTCGGGCAGTGTTTCTCTGGCCTTCCTTTTTGATGTTTCTCTTGCCACCTAGGGGCAATTTCTGTTGGCCAGTTTGGGGTTCGGGTGTGGTGACAAACATAGTCCTTACGGCTTCCGCTTACAGGGTGCAGGGTTCAACCTGATGCCTGACGCTGTCTTCGTCGTAGTGTCGGCCGCATGGAATTTTGGGATGTCAGTTTACGGTACGAGCAGGAGGCTTCTTCAAAGCTGGCAGGAGGGGACAGGGCTTGCAACGATAGATACTCCTGTCCCGAGTCGCGTGCCGCGGGCTTGTGGCTTTGGGCGTCTGGGTCACTAAAAGAGGCTTGTGCCATCTTGCGCCGTTTCCCGTTACCACTGCCGACCCCATACCATCGTCAACTGAAATCATACCTTCGGACACACCCGCAGGAAGCTTTCGCGCTCGCTACCATCACCAGGTCACCATCATCATCACCATCACACGGCTATCTCACCCTTTCTACGCGCTGCCATGGCACCACGTGGAAGCTGTCGTGCTGCAACAGTCGGTCAAAGAAGGCGCACTCGCCTGAATGATTGGGGCACCTACCGCAGTTCCTGCCGCTCCCATTAGCATGCCACACGTTGCCTTTTTCACGGTAAACATCGTAGCTGGGAGCATTACCACTACCACACAACTGCCACCACCCCACCACTACCACGACCACGACCACAGCTGCCACCAGCAGCACCGACCACCACCACCAGCACCACCCACACCAACAGCAAAATCTGCACCAGCAGCAGGACCACCACCGCCACTACCACCGCCACCACCAATGTTAATGCTGCTGCTACTTCTGCTCTCGCTCCTGCTCCTACCCCGCCTCCGACGACTACTACTACTGCTACTCCTCCTCCTCCTACCACTACTACTACTACTACTACTACTACTCCTACTCCTACTCCTACTACTACTACTACTACTACTACTACTACTACTACTACTCTAACTACTGTCAGCAACAGTACGGCAGTTGTGGCAGTGGTCGTGGTGCGCGTTCTGGTGCATGTATTTGTGCTGGGTGGGGGTAGCTTGGGGTGATGGTTGTGGCGGTGGTGGTGCTCGTGGTAATGGTGGTGGTGGTGCTGCTGCTGGTGCTTCTCGTTCTGACGGCGGAGGCAATGGTGGCAGTGCCTTGGAATTGTCGGAATTGTTGTTGCTGTTTTCAGCAAACAACGTCATAGCAGCAACAGCGATTACGAAAACCAAAATGTAAGAGAAAGGATAGGAAGAGGATGAGCAAGCAAGAATGCGACCGAAGCAAGCAGCTGCGCGTCTTTAAGCGCTGGCTTTCACTGAACGAGCAGGCCCCATCTTGCACAAACCGGCCAAGTCGCGCAGACACTCTCGGTATCTAGCCAGTTGGAGTTCCGCTTGCAAGGGCTTGGACAACAGGTTGAGGATGGGCAGGTGAACATCCTGAACTTCAGAATTGATGTTTCCGAGATCCATGGGAAGGATCAGGCGGTCTCTCAGGGTCTCTGACGGTCGCCAAAACACATACTTTCAGATTGGCGCCATAGCTCTAGACTTAACCACAGCACTCCTGCAAAACTCGAAGTGTAGGATGCAGGACTAAACTTGTGGGTGACCCTTTCTCCGCAATTCAACCCAAACCCTTAGCCCTGAACCCCTTCAATTCTCAAGCTGCTGGCGAGAGTCCAGGCTCAGCGCCTCGTGCCTGCGAAAGGAATCTGCTCGGATAGGTGTGACTTAAGGAAACAGGGTTTAGGATTTAGGGTGTGTGACTTAAGGAAACAGGGTGTGAGCTTGCCGGCTCAATCAGGGACAGGTAGGACCGATCTACTCGGAGGTGGTCATGCCACTGTGGCTGCTGTTCGACGCACTGTAGCCACGGGGTTAGGCTTGGAGTTCAAGGTTTGGGGAATCGCTCGACCTCGCTGTAATTTGGCCACTTGCTCGTCGTGTGTACACTCCGACTCCTGGGCCCCAGCTGCAGGGCCTCAAAGCATAGGTGTACTGCAGGAAGCGCGTAACACGATGCCCGAGGTCCGCGGGAATCTCGTTCTGCCTGAGAGACTGCTCAGGCGAGCTGGTTTGTTTGGCAAGCAGCTTAGTATGTCTGGTCAGAACATCGAGGATGCTTCTTTCCAGCATCGATGCTTTGCTTTGGGATGTGAATGAAGCCTAGGAAAACGCTCGACATCGCTGGAGATAGTTTTCAGCTGGACATCCCAGGCTCCCAGGGCCACAATGATACTGCGCAAGCCCTTTGGAGCCCTGAAGCTTTGCATTTTCGGCATCAGTTCTGACAAGTCTTCGTAGTAAAACATTCAAACAATCTTTCGGGAACTGCTGAAGAACACGGAGGAGTGCTCCCTAAATCCTGACTGCAGACGGCACGTCCTGCCAAGCGGCACCAGGAAGCGCCGAAGAGACCGGAACTGTTCGATCTCCTCTTGCAGCCAATTTCTGCTTAATCAGCCATAAGCTCACCTCCATGAAACCCACAGGCGCTGAACCCCTCCCGTACAGGCCTTCAGCTGCTAAGCGCGGTTCCGAAGTGTGGGTACGCAATCTTGTACTTGTACGGCTACACAGCTAGATGTTAGGGTTTGGTTGAGGGCATGGTAACACCATAAGGACCTGGTACTTGAGCTCTCCATGAGCCAGACACTGCCCAAGCCAGCTCCACAACTCCAGCGACTCATGCACTCATGCCACGAAATCCTTCAACAGAGAGAGAGCTGATCAGAATACTAAGTAGCCGTAATATTCGAAGCAGAGGACGATTCGACTATAGCATCATGGCCTGACAGTATGCGGAAATGTCAGTAGGGGTCGAAGATCCTGATAGATCGTTCCAAGGTCCCGAGCACTCCTCGGTCTTGAGGCGCTGGAGACTGGCCATCAGAGACGTGACCGAGCTCACCTCTCCGAGCGGGATGGAGTTTGAGGTTTCAGGTCTTGGCGGAGTGTTCTTCTCGGGCATGTCGAACTTTGGTCGAGCTTGGGTCTTAGGTCCGGCGCTGGTATGTTGGTTGGCTTTCGGATCTCTTTCGGCACTAGGCTGGCCCAAGCCGGAAAGGCAGGGGGAGGAGGAAATTCCGAGTGCACTGCGCCACACGACTTGCCGTTGGTCCCAGATGCTGCTTAGGCCTTTCATTCTTCGATGCTTGACCTGTTCAGTCATTGGGATGAAATGTAGCTGCTGCTCAAAAGGCTACGGAACTGCAAGGTTTCTGAAGATTTGGGTTCTGAACGGTTCAACTGGTCGTTGCTATTTCTACCACGACTCTAATATCGCCCGTTGCCCCATACCGTGACTTCTCACTCCCAGACCACTGAGATACAGAAGATATCATGCAGACTTTGGCTTTTCGGTACCGGGATCGGCCCCCCTGCCGCGCCAGCGTGGAGAAGGTGATCAACGCACAGAAAGTGATGAAGATGGAGAACAGTCGCTCCTTGGCCGGGGGACAAGGCCCTCATGCCACCCCGAACCTGAATACCTTCTTCCTGGGAGGGAGCGGGCAATATCAAGAACTTGCGCTGCTGAAGACATGCCGAAAGGCAACGGCAGCTAGCATGAATCCGGAAACCACTCAGACAGCTCCGCTCGTACATGCAGTCCCTTCCATTTTCAGTTGAAAAACATTTCGACATCCTCCAACACGCCCAACATTGGGCGAATCGAAAGAGAATCGAAAGATTTCAAGACCGGGGAGCGGCAAAGTTGACTGCCTCTATGTTCGTCTGCCCCACGCCAAGCTGGGTTAAAGACCAATGCAGCGCAGTGCTGTACCTTGTCCGATGAGGATGGTGCTGCTGATGACAAGGACTGTATGTAGAGCGAAGGTAACGATGAGGATAAGATGTCTTGTCTTTGCGTCAGCCTGTTCCGGTTCCGGACGACAACAACAACAACAACAGCAAAAGCAAAAGGCCGTGCTCGGCAGAGTCGTAGTAGTACAAGCTTTGTTGTTTTGGGTGGTGATGATGATGGTGATGATGATGATGATGATGCTTGTGTTGATGACGTTGTTGATATCATCATTCTTCTTGTTGTTGCCGTTGACGATGATCTTAGTGTTATTGTGTGTGCTCTTGTTGTTCTTGTTCCTGCTGCTGCTGTGGTCCCAGCAGCAGCTGCAGCTGTAGCAGTACTAGTAGCAGCGACAGCAACAACAAGAAGAGGAATGATTGTAGTAGTAAAGGTAAATGTCGCAATCATGGTAGTACTATCTCCAAGTGCAATGAGGAGGGGCTGGTATTCGATGGAGCGGCCCTCCAGCTGGTTCTCGGAAATCCTCAGTGTCCCAGAATGGCCGGACGCTGGGCTCAGGATTCTGCGAGGGGGTCGTGGAAAAGATGGAACTCGACTTAAGTTGTTCCAGTCATTGACATGAGACATTCTGTGCCTGACAGATTGAGATCTTTGTGGAAACCCTTCGTGTTGCAACCAGGAATGTCAGGAAGCCTGTTCCAGGGGTCGTGCTATGTGTAAGTTCAACAGAATCAAGCTTAGGCAATCGGCCAGTTTGGCTGGCCCTCGTCCAGCTGCGCGATGCCCCACCAGGAGCAAGCGATCACGTGATTCCTCGGTCTCTGGGAGACTTCATCAAGGGCTTCATCCACGATGCCAATCGAGCCCTAGTCAGGCACTACGAAACCGGCCCCAAGGATTCGTGAACGCACAGAGGAAAAGAGACTGGTCGCGAGGCACAAAACGAGACCGAACTCATGAATCAGCAAAGAAAGAAAACTGAAGTCCGGCATATGCTCTCGGCATGCAAGAAGCTGAGGACCTGCGTTGACCGATGGAAGGCCCCGAAATCCAACAAAAGCTCTTGGCAGGCCAGGAAGCAGCAGCATCATCCGGCCGATGATCTTGAAGATGCTGTAGTGGATGGTTGCCTTTGGCAGGGATTTAGGGCTGAGGGTCGGTTCAATGGGACAGGAGGTCAGGAGGGGCTGAGGTATCAAGGACGTGCTCTGGCGCAAGACATCATATATCCTCCCACCTTGCTGTGGACACCTCAAGCGGACCGGTTGGGAACGGAGCGCAACCGTGAAGCCTAGAGCCACCAGTGGCCAACAGCTAACAACCCCTGGACCGCTAGCATGTTGCACTTTGCAGCATTCTGCCATCAGCATACTCATGATCGCACGGGCTATGTAGTGGTTCAACTATTTCTTGGTTCGGATGGTGAAGGTGGCGGCGGTGGTAATACTCGTTGGTGATTTTGGTGGTGCGTTTGGATGCTGCTGCGCTGCGGCTTCTCTTGATGCTGTTGCTGCTGTTACCACGGCTTGTGCTATTGCCGAAAAACCAGCAAGTATGCGTTTTCAAGCTGAGACTGGGCTACAGGCAAACGCAACTCCTTGCCAAGCGCAGCCTCCAATCCCTGAAGAACCGGTCTCCTAATCTCGGCTTCGAGGCACTTCTGACATCTGATGCAATCCGAAGCCTCCATAGCAAGCGCATTCGCCCGAAATCCGACATGACTGCAACTCATCTTGCAGGGCCAGGCACCACTTGTGAGTTGATCTGCTCCTGCCAGGTGGTCGAGGGGCCTACTGGGGCCCATGGCCCATGGCTCTCAAGCCCCTCGGGGTGTCATCAAGGAGGGACACCCATGGCCGCAGAGTCTGAAAGATGGAGAAAGAAGGACACGAAGCACAGAGACGCAACGGCAAGATAGATGCCTACCGCCACCCAAGCCCTCAGCCACAACATAGCACAAAAACAACAAAAATCCTTTCCGCAACCTGAAATTCAGAACCCAAACCCCCAAAACCGGAGCTTCAAGGAACCGGCCCCCTAGCAGCCTGAAAGGGATCCCCTCCTCCGTACCCTTCAACCGCAGGCCTGGAGAGCTTCCACCATGGTACTGACCTTCGCGAGCCTGGCAAGGCGGACCAAGCCTGCAAAGCTTTGAAAGGGTTTCTTCTTGCTTTGGGGCTGCTTAGGGCTGCTGGGGGCTTTGGGGTTCGGGGGTTGGAATGTGGTTGGATGCTTACAGGGAGTCAGCTTTACAGCGCTGTGGCTGGATGTCCTTTGCGTCGCTTTTGAAGTTCGGCATGACACTGATGCTGCTGCTGCTGCTGCTGCTGATGATGATGATGATGACGATGACGATGACGATGATGATGATGGTGATGATGATGATGGTGATGATGATGATGATGATGATATGATGATGTGATGGTGATGATGATGGTGATGATGATGATGGTGGTGGCGATTATGATGACAATGATGATGACCATGACCATCAACATCAACACCGTCACATTCATGACCAAGATCATGGCCACGATCGTGGTGATGATGGTGATGGCCATGACGATGACGATGATGAAAAATCATTGTTGTTGTGGTTGTTGTTGTTGTTGTCGTCGTGGCTGTTGCTGTTGGTGTTGTTGTTGTTGCCGCTGCTGCTGCTGCTGATGCTGCTGCAGTTGCCGTTGCCACTGTTGTTGTTGTTGTTGTTGATGATGCTGTTTTTGCTGTTGCTGTTGCTCTTGTTGCTCTTGTTGC